TTTTTTTTTTTGTAAGTACATGCCTGTGATACATACATGTCTAAGAATAGGTGTTTGGACTTTTCATATCAAGTCAAAATCCAACCCTTCTCCCCCCTTTTTTTTGAAGGAACCCTTCTTTCTCCTCAATCACCAGTGCCAACAGTGTTGATCTTCCTGCCTGTTTCTTTTTGAAATTTCCCCAGCCAATCCCAGTATCTAGAGCATTTGTTCAGAAACTGCAGAACTGCACAGGTGAGTTTTGAGCATCAGGAACTAATACTCACTTGTTAAAGATGTGAAAAAGAAACTTCAAATTCAGATTGTCTTAGACCTATTTCAGTCTTGTAGGCCTCAGAATAGTACTGATGGGTAGAGATGTCATGGTGCTTTGTACTAGTAAATGCTTAGGAAGTACTTTTTGAATAAATGGGTGAATTAATATAGAAATTGTGAAGGGAAACCAAGCTGTCAACGTTTTGATTTTTCCTTATTTTTCCAGGAATTCCATTGTTTGAAGCTCAACCAACTTATGTACCCCTCTATGAACTGATCACTCAATTTGAGCTGTCAAAGGACCCTGATCCCATACCTTTGAGTCACAACATGCGATTTTATGCTGTAAGTAAGACCCTATGCAGCTAGAAGTTGTAGGTTATGTTTAGACTCAAGATCAGAATTTTCCTTTGTAGCATTATGGAGGTCAGATAACTTTCCTTTGGACTGTTGGATCATGTCCTATTTCCTCATTTAGGCAGGCAATTACAGAAATCTCTGAAACATACTGACGAAAAAGGGCATGAGCTTCCAAGTCAGGAAACAACAATGTACATTTCTTTGTTGAAATTTGAGATAAAAGTATCTTAATGGTATTCTGAACTTTTACAAGCTTATAAGTAGGTGTTAAGAATTCTTATTGTTTAATTTTTTCAAGTGCTATGAGCTTATAATCTGGAAAAGTTCTTCAAGTACAAACAGACAAGAAAATACTGGAATGAATAAATTGTGTAAGGTTCCAGAATCTTATCTGAGCTTTAATTTATTCGAATGTTTTACAATAGTTTAGACTAGAGTAGTTCCCAAATTCTGGCAGCGTTATAGTTATATAGGGTGTTTTGTTAAAAATACAGATTTTGTACTTATGGTTTAGGAAACACAGATTCTTGAGGTAATTTTTATGTTAGCTAGGTAGCCATTAGCATATAGCATTTATTAAAAAGGGATCTTTTCAGCCAAACGTGTAATTGGTTGACTTCACATCAGCTGATTAAAGAATTGACTGTAGAATTGTATTACTCCCTAAGACTTTGCTGTGCTTTTTTGAGGAGCAGGTTTTTTTCAGGATATTTTGTGGTGGTTGTACAGTGGCTAAGTAAATAAACACTCATTTACTTTGTTTTGCCCAGGCTCTTCCAGGTCAGCAGCACTGCTATTTCCTCAACAAGGATGCGCCTCTTCCAGATGGCCGAAGTCTACAGGGAACCCTTATTAGCAAAATCACCTTTCAGCACCCTGGCCGAGTACCTCTTATCCTAAATCTGATCAGACACCAAGTGGCCTATAATACCCTAATTGGAAGCTGTGTCAAAAGAACTATTTTGAAAGAAGGTATGGCTTTTCCTTTTGATACTCTTATTGGAAGGTGGAAACTGACTACTCCAGTGGTTCTTTAATTTGGTGGCTCATCACAATCACCTGTGGAGCTTTAAAAACTACAGATGCCTAGTTTCCACACCCAGATGCACTGAAATTAGAACCTCAGTGGGAGGAGGTAGGAATCTAGTTTAATGTCCACAGACGATTTTGAAAGAACCAATTGGTAGATTGGCATTTGGAAACCACTGTTTTTTGCAATGGACTTAACTCTTTTTCTGAACGTAGTAATGTAATTGGGTATTTTAGGGCCTGTACCTTGCAGGAGATGTATGAATATAAGGTAGACCTTGGAATGCTGTTGTGAAAGAAGCTTTCTTTTTTTTTTTTTTGTGGCTGGCTGGTAGGGGGATCTGAAACCTTGACCTTGGTG